CGGTGGCAGAGAATGAAGTAATTCTATGGTGGTATGAGGCATGAAGTAGCGTCTAAAGCCAGGCTCTAAATCTAGGATTTCAGAAAGTCTCCCTCCTTTTAATGGTTCAGATCTTATTTTTCTTGTTCTTTCCCTTTTTTTCCCTTCTGGGATTTATTTTACTTTTCTCTGCACACTTCAACTCCCACCCGCCTCTTACACAACAAAACAAAAAAAAGCTTTTATAGTTAATTAGCTTCACTCACTGCTAGAAAAAAATTAGAAACAACATGTAGGTGTCTAGAGTCTATTTTTCTTACAGTGTATTAAAGTGGTATTTCCTAGATTTTCTTAGTACAGCCTTTGTGACCTCTCTTCCCTAACTCTCAATTTCACATTGTTTGCTCCTTGTTCTGCAAGTGATATCTGGAGTTTATAGAAAGGCTTACCTATATAAGAAATTGCATCACTATAACTTGAAGTAACTTTTAAACATGATACTCAACTTTCTCATATATATGTGTCCAAATTAATATTCAAATTGAAATTAGCAGGCATGAGACAAATTTGACTTCCATCTTCATGTTTTAGATTTCATAGATTTTATAAACATTTGGGCTGGAAGGGACCCTGGAGGATCATCGAGTCCAGCCCCCTGCCCCAGGCGCAGGAAGTCAGCAGGGATCATAGGATCCCAGCAAGATGCAGTACCCGACAATTTCAAAAGACACCCCTTCTGTCTTTTTGATGAACCCAATCTCTTCACTTGAATAAAAAATGTCCAGAAGAATATGACACAATTCTAACTATTCCCACAGTCAGTAAAATATATATATCTGCAGTTGCAAAACTTGGACATATTTTCAGGGACATTTAAGGTGTTCATTATATTCATACATTTGTAATTTGTTAAGTGTGAATCTGTTCAGATTATTTCCTATGTATATAGGATCAGGAACTTCACGTGCATATTTCCTGGGCCTGATTGTATTGTCATGTGCATAAAAGATCCTGCTTAACGTTACCATTTAGCCTTACAAACCCAAGCACGATTCTCAGGCCAGACACTTTTAATATGGCCCATAAGCATACATTTTAAGACTCATCCAGTAAGTATATAAGAATAGCAGCAAGGACTCCAAGCTTTTGTACTCTCTTATTTTAATAGATTCACAGGAACTTTTCCTTTGTCCGATTTCAGGATAAAGGAAGAATGGAACTTTATGCTAGAATGCAGAAAGAAAGGAATTCCACAATCCAAATACTTAAAGAATGGTTTTGTAGATACCAGTATGGAGATTTTGGATAAAATGGAAAAGAACTCTCAGCTCCGTAAGAAGCGTGCTTTGTCAGATGCAGCAGACAAAGAAAGAAGCAAATATATTTTTCAACTTTCTGGTGAGCACTGGACGGTAAGTTTAGTCTGATCGTCTTTCTGCAGTATTTGGCTGATGAGCGTAGCACTGCAAACCCTGATGATCTAGCCTATTGTGAACAGTTTTCAGCTGCATTAGTTTTGACAGTAGCATTGGTTTTTTTCTTTCTAGAAAGAAATCATTATAATTTTTATTTTAAAATGTATTCATTTTCAATTCTGTACTAATGTGTATAACGTACACCTCTGAAAACCACAGTTATAAACAACTGTAATACTGTAAGAGAGTGCCCAGTATCCACATCGGTATCTCAGCCCCCCTCTACACATAACACTTAAGGCATGATGATTAACCAGTTCATCATACTGTAAGTTGTGACTCACCTACACATTCAACCAATGAGTGTGGTGATAAAACAAGCAATAAGCTACAAAGTTATTCCACAACAAACGTGTAATAAGTTTATAGCATGTTCTAATCATGCCATTAATTGAATGAGTGACCAAGTGCTCCTCTGTGGCTGGGAGTCTCATCAGCTCCCAACCACAGGGATGCACCACCTGCTGATAGCCCAAAAGCTGACAAGGCTTGTGGTGGTGGCAGTGTTCCCAGCACTGTCCTTGTTATGAGCCTCATCAGCTGCAAGCCTCGCAGTGGGCAGAACACTGCCCCACCCCCCTCCAAGCCTCATTGGCTGCAGTACTTGCAGCGAGAACAGCACCATTGGCTGTGACGCTTGCAGTAGGGGGCAGCAGGGAGAAGGCTGCTGCCGCTGTCAGCCCCACACCTCACAAGGCTCACAGCAGGGGCAATACTTTCCCCACTGCAAGCTTCATGAAGTGTGAGGATCACAGCACCAGCAGCAATGTTCTCCTGCAGCCCCTGCTATGAGCCCTGCACCCAGCAAACCTATGTCAGCTGTGGGGCTTGCAGTGGGGGCAGCATTCTCCATGCTGCCCCCCACTGTGAGCCCATTACTTGTGGGGCTTGCAGCAGCAGGAGTCAGTGCAGGAGGGATCCAAGTTTGTGATCCCGGGCTCCCCATGCACCAGCGATAAGGTGCAGTGTCCTGTAATTGCACCTCCTGCCATGCACGTGTGGCATGGTAGGCAGTGCAATTGTGTGGATCATGCATTAGATCCCATTGGGCCTTTACCTGCATGTGTAGAGGGGCCCTTATTGATTGTCCTAAGATTACGAGATGATAACAACACCTTTGTTAGCTTGTTCATGTCTTTTCATACCCAGAAATCTGCTTGCTTGGCTTAAGAGTATAGATACAACTTTGTTCTGTTTGCTTAAAACAAAATCAGTAGCACTACTAACCAGTAGTGGCCTGGTGGAAACAGTACTTAACACGGCTTTCTGTGAGACACCAGCTTAGAAGTAAGATGTGAAACAGAGCTGGTCTGAATTTTTTCTTGAAAAATATTTCAAGTTATTTTTGTTTTGAGAACATGTTGCATTTGATTAAACTTCTTTTACAACAAGGTGAAATGAAACATTTTAAGGCAAAAGTAAAAAAAAAAAAAGATAGAATATTTCATTTCAAAATGACTTTTGGAAATGAGATGCATCATTTGTAAATAACAGAGTGAAAGAAAAAAGTTCCATCAGAACAAATTTTCATTTAATAATACATTTCCAAAAATATATTTGATCTCTTTCAGAATTAAAATAACTTTGGCAGAATTTTTCAAAACAGTGTGTCACATTCCCAGTCATCTCTAGTCCAGAGTCCACTTCCTCTACTAATGCCCATCACTGAAGTGACAGTGTTCTTTGCAAGAGAGGTATGGGTATCAGCTTCCAAACTTCTTATACACTGCCAATTTTGAGATCTGAAACTGATATGGTGTAGTGTGTCCTACTTTCACAACCAGCAGTAATTCTGTATGTGTGTGTATAAATTCAGAAAACAGCAATTTATCAGGCTCCTTAGATTGAGAGAGAAAACATTTCTCCTGCCAAGGGCTAATAGAAAAAAAACAGTTATTTTGAGGTGTATGTTATTAAATCAATCAGATGCTTGTAAGTACATAAAGCAGGCATAAGAAAATTAATCTTGATCACTGACAACTCTTCTGAAAAACATTTGGAATGCTCTTAAATTGCTTACAGACAATGAAAAGATTTTTAGGCAAAGCATGTTGATGTATAACTGTTATACAATGTCAAGATTAAGGGCCATGATAACAATGCTTGATATTCTGCTGAGGCATCTTAACATTAAGTAGCAGAGACCTACATGGTAATACAGGATTATTTAAAAATCAGATCAGCAGATTCTTATTAAATCCAATCCACAAATATAAAGGAGTTTCAATTCCTTGTTGTTGTTGTATGGTAGAGCTGCTTTTAAAAAATGGTCAAAATATTTCATGGAGGTTATTCCAAATGTTTTGGTCTTTATTCATTGACATTGGAGGTACACCGATACATTAATCCCATATCAGGTTGGCACCGATATAAGAGAAATTGACAGTATCAGCAATTGGCTTTTTTTGGCTGAGGTGGCCCATAATGTCACTGATAAATGTCCCATGCATGTGTGCAGCGACAGCACAGCACGTAGGCAGCCAGGAGCACAGCTCAGCAGCTTGGAGAGCAGCTAGGTTCAGCTGGTAAGTCTGTGGGGAAGGGGTATGCGGGGAGGGGGGCAGATTAAGGCCTCCGTGGTGAGGGAGGGAGTGGGGCTGGGGCAGAAGCAGGCACTGCACAGCCGGGGCGGGGCATGAGATGGAGCCACAAGCAGCTCATCAGGGGGCATTGGTGGGGGTGGGTCCCAATGCTGTGCACACTCTGGGAGGGCACAGGGGGCATGCACCCCTGGTGCCCCTACATGTGGGGTGTGGGCAGGTTGCTGGTGTTGGATGGGGCCGGGGCGGCGCTGAGCTCTTCCCAGCAGGGGGCTGGGTCGGGCTGTGCTCAGGGTGGGTGGTGGCGGTGGGGAGGGGAGCTATGGCAAATTTTGGGGTGGCTGAGGCCCCCCCTCCCATAGTGCCCTCCCAGTGCTGCCACTGCCTGCCCCAAGCACAGCCTGGCCCAGCCCCTCACTGGGGAGAGCTTGATGCAGCCTGCCCTCATCCTGTGTGCAGATCCAGGGGCACACCCTTCATGAACTTCTGGGGTGCATGCAGTGGCAGAAGCTACACCCCACTCCGCATGCCCCTCTCTCCATGCCCCCCTGGATGAGCTGCTCATGGCTCCATCCCACACTGGCTGGGCAGCACCTGTCCCAGTTCCACTCCCTCACTCACTGCAGGGGCTTCAATCTGCCCCCCACCATGCCCCTTCCCTCCTCCCGCCCCTTGGCTCTCCAAGCTGCCCGGCTACATACCGCAATCAGATCAGTATTGGCCGATATGGCTTGTTAAAAATCAGCACAAAAAATCTCTATTGGGGCACCCCTAATTGACACACAGTTATAAAACTTAGAAATGAGAGGAGACCAGAAGACACTGGATGGTGTTTGAAAAAAACCCCCCAAAACCCAAAAAACAAAACAAAAGAGCCCCCCATGTATTTAGTATACAATAGAATAGAAAGTTGAAAAATTAAAACATCTCTGTTTACTTCTAATGTCATTAAAGTCAGTTTTTTTGTACCTTTTCATTAATATAGCTTTACAAAAGAAGCAAAAATGCAGAATGTCTCACACATCCTTGCTCATCTTTGCTTCAGCATTGTTCCAGTCTGATACCCTAAAACATGAAAGGCGCATGTCCCTGGCAACTTGGGGGGCACAGCTGTGGTGGCGGGAGCGGCAGTGGTGAGCTCCCACAGATGCCACCAGCATTGTTGGTGGTAGCAGGGGTGGTGAGCGCTGACCATGGGCTGGTGACCACCCACAGGCGCTGCCAGCAGCGGTGGTAGCAGCCACGGGAGATCATGGACAGGCGACAGGGTGGCGACCAGCACCTTTTTGCAGGGTGTACACTGCCATGCACAGGGGGTGCATGTGCACTCATGTGCACCCCCTACATGTCATCCCTGCCCCAAAAAGATTAAACTCAGGGGAACTATCAATTTTAGAATAATATCAGTATAGTGGTATTTGTATTTGTGTTGATCAATCCTTCAAAAAAGGATCGAAGAATCAAGCATTTGGTTCTTTTTCTACCTTAGACATTGACTTGACACATGACATTGGGGTTAGCCCCTTAATCTGTCTGTGCCTTGTTGCCTATCTGTAGCTGGCTAAATTATATTTACCTATGTCAAAGGAATTATTTGAAGTTCAATCGCAGAATTCATTAACATGTACTTGGAGGGATAACTTTGACATAAATTAAGAATAATTGTTTGCTTACTTTATTGTAAATTAATCTGTGATCCATGCTCTTTGTCTGCAAAAATACCTACAAGTATTTAAAAGAATTGGGACACTGACAGAGAAAACTTATTTTAAAATTGTGAATTGAAGATCTGCTCAGCAATGCTCATGTCATCTAGGAAAGAGCTAATTTTCTGTTCTTTTACTAAAATATATATTTTAAAGATAGACAGTGGTGATCATAAAGATTATACCAGCTCACTCTATATCCTTACATCTCATCTGCTGCTTTCAAATCCTGGTACAGCTGTCAGGATCTAGAATAATTTATAGGGCTACATTGTCAAAACTCACTGTACTTATGCCCCCTCTACAAAGTAGTGCCCAGATGTAAACATGCATTAGTTTTTACAGATTATGTAATTGAAAATGCAAAAAAAAATATTTATATGCATACTGTCAGTTTGTATGTGGAAGTATCTGTTTACATACGCAGTGAGCCTCACAGACAGTACTGTGTCAAGGAAGTTTGGTGTATAGATCCGGGGGAC